TAATTCTATTTTCCTGTATATGTATACTTTTTGGAGTCACATAGATGAGCCACATTAATCAGAGTAGTAGAAGAGAAGGAGCATGGAGAGTCTGCTGTGTCCTCTGGTGGCCACCGGGAGGCATCACAGCTGCAAGGGACAATGTGTGTATGTGAATGTATGAAATACTTGCAGCTTAATTTTAAATGTATATGATGTTATTGTATCAGTTAAAATCAGTTGCATTCATCGTTTATTGAACAAATATGTTTTATACTTTTCTCCAGTGGTGGAATTAGTATAAAGGTTTGACATGTAGAAACAGAAATAATTATTGAGTGTGTAAAAAGGATAAAACTGAGTACATACTACGTCAAAATGGTATCCTAAAAAGCCTAGCTTCATCATTCTGTAAAGAATGTAAAGAAATAGATATGGATTCAAATAATAAATTACTTGTTAGAGGTTCATAAACACATCCCATCAAGTTATCTTGATAGTCCTACTCGTATGTTTCAACCCAAAATGCAACATGATACTCGAAAAGAAAAAAGAGCAATTCATTCCTTCTCGTTTATTTGTGTTTGTTTGGACCGGAACTTACAATTGGTCTCTTCCTTCCTCTTATGTAACCAGGATTGCAAATCAGAGGATGCAACAATTTACCCACCTCATTTAATCAGGCGTTACCCAACCGGATTTCAAACAGAAATGGGGAAGTCAAACAAAACTATTTATGAGATGAGACAGAATCAGTCCATATATAGCCTACAGTAGATACAATTAATGATATGTATAATGAACTCACACCCTCTCTCAGACACAGTGACCTCTAAGTGTAAGAAAAATGAAATCCCCTCTGACACTTGATGATTCTTACATACAATCCTGTTTTACATTATTGAGAGAATGAACAGAGATGGCTGCAGTGCCCGAGCTGGGCTCTGCATGCACATTGCTCAAATATTTTCCTAGTTGAGTCGATTACCACATCTCTTTAAGAGCATTTGTCTTCTCGCAGCCTCTGCAACCAGAAGTGTGTCCGCTCACACGCTGACAACCTCCAAGGGAAAGGAACAGCCATCAAATGAAGGCCAAGTTTGAATGCTTAACATTTGTAATGAAGGTTGGCTACATTATACATATTTGGAGGTTAATCTCAGTGTGTTGAAAAAAGCAACTAGGATTTGAATAACAACAAATGTAATGATACTTATCATATGAATAACCACACAGAAAATCTAAATTCTTTACCATGAAATAATGTAATATTCTGGTTATTTAAAACTCAGCTATAGGCTATAGCCTATACATTACATTTTATTCTGCTTCTTTTTCTCACAAAAACGTATTTAAGGTATAGCTAGCTAACTAAATCAGCAAAATAATAACCGGTAATTGGAATGGTAAACATTATGTCTGCTATCCAACAATAGGTTTGCCTTTGTGCGTAGCCTATATTAGCATTCTGATGTTAGCATAGCATAAAGGAACACGTTAGCATTTAGCATAAAAGCCCACTATTCAAAGTAGTGCATCACATTAGGTGCTAGCAAGGTGACAAAGAGGGCTTAAGAACTAAACTGTTACATGACAGAGAAACTATCAAGATTGAAAATAATGAGAATTATTGACATTTTGTTTCTTACGGTTTTCACTGTCCCCGTTTAAACCCTGTTTCTCGGGTATTAAATACCATTGTCTTCCATAACTAAAATGTATATCTCTAGCCTATCCTGTAAGAAAAAACACACAAATAATTCTTGTTATTCAATTGCATCAGTTTTTACCTCAACATGTCGGTTTTCATTTCACCACACCCTTCCCCCACTAACTTTTTGCATTTCATCATGATTTCATCACGTCCCCTTTAACAATCTTCACTAACAGGACAGCGCCATGTGTCCGTTTCATTAACAGCACAAAGCAAAAGTATTACAAATATTTACCCTTTTGGGTCCACACCATATATACAGTCTATGGTCCACACCTATGGTCCACCAACCCAGTCTCACGGCATTTCGTGTTCACCAACACGATTTTTAATCTATTGATTCGTGTTCACCAACACGATTTGCCCCTTTTTTTTGTGTTGCACAGCACGATTTGAAAAGCAATGTATTTCTACTGCCTGCAGCACGTCTTTTTCTCCGGTCGGGTCGAGGAAGACCGGAAAACTGTGTGGTTCATAAAAACACAAAAAAATACTCAATATCAAGCCACAGTTATTGCTTTTATTTGAAATCGTATAATTTTGGACTTTTGTTGCAGTCTGTGAGGAAAATAAATGGGGCTCAGAGCCTCAGGATACTGAAATCTGTATTTTTTAAATCTTTTTTTCCTTCTAATTTGTTATTCTTTTCAAAATAACACACTGTTATTTACTCACTAATAACACACAATTATCCTTGCTTTTATTTATTGGTTTAATTCCATAATCTCGGGCTTTTTTGGCGTCCGTCAGGAACTGAATTTCAAAATAAAAATAACCGGAAACAGACGTAGGCATTTCGAGCGATTACCCAATATCCTCAGCTATGGTTTTAAGCTCGTTTATTGGATGTTTTAGCCGCAATGCATGCTGGGATTTGGTGTTTATATGATATGAAATCCGGAAAACATTTAAAAAGAATAAAATAATACTTAATTCCGAGCGCTCTTGCTTTTCTCTTTGAAAGTCATCACATAACGGCATTGCAATACACGGTTCGGCTGCATTGTATATTACAGATCTGCCGTAGTTCTTTATTTATAGAGCCCTGATGAGAAGACCTTTGGAAAAACTGAGAAAATGCCGCTGAAACTGAATACTTGACGTGGATCATAAATATATTCAACAATTAAACAACATCTTCAATTTCTCTTTACACAATACGTCTCCTTGCAGTATCAACACTAATTCGGCTGACTTTTACATTTGATCTAATTCACAGATAGGTTATATTTACACCATAACGGTGCACAGCTGATATAAAAGGACTAGTTTTTAAAGATATTACTGATTTTCTTTGAATGTAAGAATGTAAATACTGAGTCTGAAATAGTATAGCAATATGCTGTAAAATTATGTGAAAGCATGCATAAAACTACACATCTTCAGATGTTGTACTAAAACATAAGTGTCCTACACTAATAATACAAAGTTATTATGGCTGTGTGTACCTTGTGTGCACCTCCTAGTGGTTAAAGCACGTTATTGAATTATTGTGTTTTATTTGATTAAAAAAATATTAAGAGTACATACTTTCATAGGGGGAAAGTATAAATATAGAATATAAAAAATCAAGAAGATACTATAAGTGATCTCTACAATAAAACAGTTTAGTGCAGAATGTACAAAGATATTAATAGGAGGAGGTGCAAAACAGAAAAACGAATTAACCTTTATTTAAACATTAAATAACAGATTAAGGTCTTCTTTTAAATAAGAAAAACACTTTGGGGGTATCTATCTACAGATAAATATTAAGCCTGACAAAGTACTTAACGTCTAATATATTGCTTTCCTGCAATGTTAACTATGTTGAAGCACTTAGCAATTATACTCTTATGTATATTATGTAGATAGAATAAGAAATGTGCAGAATATGACAGTTTAATGGTGGAGGTACACACATATTGATAGATGTCTTGTAATGCACTGTTGAGGAACCTGTGACCCAAGTGTTTAATTCATTGCATAACTACACCGTAGTTGTGTATATGATATGTCAATAAACCTTTGAAAATCTTGAAAGGGATGTGCAAAATAGCCATAATATACAGTCTTTAATTAACTATTAGTAGAGAATAACGAGTAATGAATATACTTTATTACTCATTTCCATTCATGTCAATTGCAGATACATGTTTAGTCTTCTCAAGCACCAACTATCAAATATCTCTCCTGATTGTTGGCACTTGACAATCACCTTCCCTGAATTTTACTCAGGTGTAACTAAAGTCTGATTTAAGGGTTGTTTATATTTCACATAATTAATCAGAATCTGCAAAGTAACTCAAATAAATGCAGTGGAGTAAAAATACCAGGTTAACCTCTGAATTGTAGTGGAGTAGAATTACAAAGTAACAATGAGCTGTCATGTGGGTATTAATGCTGCGCATTAACACAAGCGATTTTCACCCATTTATTAATTATATGTTTTACATTTGATAACACCAATGTGTTTAATACTGGCAACTTCTAATTGTGGGGAAAACGAAAACGTTCAGTAGAGACGTCCCATAGAACATTTTGCGAAACACAATAGCCAGCATGTGTAGTTCTGGGGGGGCGTTCGATTCCAGTTTTGGATAGTCTGGCGTGGTTTCGTTCCATTTCACACAGCTGTTTGACGCTCTGCATAACCTTACGGGACTGTAGTCCTAAACGATAGCTGGGGATTATGGGTAGTGTAGTGTCTTCGGCCATCCTAAACTCAGAAATGTTGACAATCGCAATGATGCTCGAAATGTCCCTTATGTCCTACGTCTGTTTCCGGTTATTTCTATTTTGAAAATCAGTTCCTGACGGACGCCAAAAAAGCCCGAGATTATGGAATTAAACCAATAAATAAAAGCAAGGATAATTGTGTGTTATTGGTGAGTAAATAACAGTGTGTTAATTTGAAAAGAATAACGAATTAGAAGGAAAAATATATTTTAAAATACAGATTTCAGTATTCTGAGGCTCTGAGCCCCATTTATTTTCCTCACAGACGGCAACAAAAGTCCGAAATTATACGATTTAAAATAAAAGCAATAATTGTGGCTTGATATTGAGTAACAACATGTTTTTATGAACCACACAGCTTCCGGTCTCCCACGACCCGACCGGAGAAAAAGACGTGCTGCAGGCAGTAGAAATACATTGCTTTTCAAATCGTGCTGTGCAACACGAAAAAAAGGGGCAAATCGTGTTGGTGAACACGAATCAATAGATTACAAATCGTGTTGATGAACACGAAATCCCGTGAGACTGGGTTGGGTCCACACACCTGCATCCCCTCAACACTCGAAAAGACTCACGCAGGCGACATTCATTCTTTCAAACATGTTTTTTATTTGATAATACTGAATATTTTGTCCTTCGCCTGGACTTACACAAAGCATCAAACACATGCACAGTCCTCTATTAACACAAGGTACCCATTTCTAATTTCTCTACACCTCTCCAAACACGGTTAATCTCTCTCTCTCACGTTACTCCAGCGCAAGAGGACCTTCTCACCTCGCCATTACAGCTAAAGACATCATAGATAAAAGACAGCGAAAACACACAAAAATCATGACAGGTATAATAATAACACTGAAAAAATACAAAGTAATGCAAATGGAAAGAGTTTACTTATAAATTATGCCTCTAATACTCCATAGATAGATTTTTTTGATAGCTTACGGTGTATAAAACAGCACTGTAAACTTGGATTGATAACTTGCTTTCTATGACAGCGGTAAAGCTTTCATTAATAACTGGAAAGAGCAGGAAAGCTAACAGTAAGCATGTTAATACCTTATTACTCATGAAATAAACCATCTGCGAGAATATATTGGCAAATCATGAAACTGCTGTTGGCATTTACAATCAACAGATAGTACAAAGACACTGAAATAACATCCAACAAAGCTCCTTTTGTTTCTCTTTCACACATTAAACCTGCAAAAATATCCCTTTTTATCCCAACCTCTCAGGCGCCACTTCTTTAGTTTTTCTTCAAATTGATCTGATGAGAAACATAGGAAGAATAAGTGAATATATATCACCAAAAGCACTCAAAATAGGAGATATCTGCAGGTGGATCTGTCGGTCGGGGCGAACTATGATAAATGTCACATCAGAGTGTTTAGGCTCTTGTACTTGAACCTCAAAAAAGTGCAAATCTAGTTCTAATGCAGTAAATAATAATCATCAAGTAACAATACAACTAGTATATGCATGGGTACTGTACAGCTACAAAATGGGGGTAACAATGAAGAGGAATGAAGATGTGAAATTTAGGATTTTTTTTATTTGACTGCTGGGCGGGAAGCAGGTTTTTTTCAATTTAGAGAGCCGATCTTTGTACAGCATAGACTGGTCCAGTGAGGCCTGTGAAGATTGCAGACTTAAAATCACCACAAAAAAAGATGTTTCACCTAATGAAACCAGAAAAGCCATGCTAGATGTTCTTTTAAAAGAAAACCGTGTTGTGGGTGTACCAGCAGAGAAGACGAGAGAGAAACTAATAGTGAGAGAGCGAGACAATCAGTTAAAAAAAAAAAATTGGAATTTGGCTTTGGAATAAAAATGGAGAATGAGGTAATAAAAGTAGAAACACGATGGGAAACAAATGATCGTCCGATTGGTGGAGAGCTGTTAAAGCGCTTTGCGGGGCAGGAAGTGCTCTGTCTCACCGAGAATTTATGTCCTCCTGACGCCAGCCTCAGGAGGAAGTTACATCATCACTTGACCAGTCTATGTCTCATGATGCCATTTTATTTGTTATTAAATAAGTGCTGTGTCTGAGAAGAACCTCCGAAACCTCTTCCGTTCAAAATGAGCAATGCCGAGGTCGCTTTCTCTGACTGGAATGCTAACGGACAACATATACAGAGAGAGGCTGAAGGTTGTTTTCAGACCGGCAGGTAATATTAGACACGTTAGCTTTGCCTTTTTTAATCAAAAATATGATGTTGTTATCTTGAATATCAATGGAATCGTTTACATTTATTTTCCAGACAGTGGGCAGTCAGGCCTGCCTCGTGACTAAGGGTCGTCGGCGTCCAGGAACTCCTTCTTGGGCGACGCAATGCCGCGGTACCAGGAGCAGGAGCCGTCCGCCCGCTTCACGCAGGCGTAGTGGTTGGCCTGGCGTCCGTGCACCTGCTTCTCGATCATCATGTCAGTCCACAGACACTCCTCAGGAGCCGAGATCTCGCAGGGCAGAGAAGGACAGCGCACAATCTGCAGAGACACACACAGGACATTCTCCGTAAACTGTGTGCAAAGTCTGTGGAGTCATGTTAAGTCAACTTCTGGTGCGGTTGTCATTTATATTTACAGTTAGGGTGGGGTATTATTTGAAACCACAATAACAGTATAGTATATGTAAAAAGTATACACTATATCATATTTCTTTAATTATGATAGCTGCTATTCATCACATCACAATGCTGTGAATTTCGCTTTGTATTTTTATCTACAATTATGTTAATATAGTTTTTTAACTCAAATTGTTATTTTAGTTTTATGTAACTCTTATTATAATTTGTAACTTTCTCTATTTTTTTTTCTTTTCTGCCATAGCCCTTAAATGGGTTTAAATCCAGTAGTTATCTCTCTGTATTATTTATTCAAAAGTGGCACAGTCTGCCATTGCCATGCTGCACCTTGCCTACCTAAGCCCTAGCATTTCACAGGACAACACTGCAGTAAGTAAAAAGTAGGTAGTATTTAGCTGAATAAATATCATCCTCACTATCTTGACTAGCGGGTGGGTCTCAGGGAGTTAAAGCATGCATACACAGCATTCCTCCACCGCCTTACCTTGCATTCACAGCCCATCTGGTAGCGCTGGGTCAGGCCCTTCTTCTGGGTGCTGCTCAAGGAGTCCCAGGGCATGATGTAATCACACAGGGTCACATGCATGCGCCCGTTGGTCTCGGACTTGCCTGCCAAAAGAGCAAGACTTTGATCAACCATCTCAATTACAAGAAAAGTCAGTCCTAACAAGACCCTACAAGCATCATATAAATGCTTTCATTTGACTTAAGGACAAACTAGTGTCAGGCAACAGCTTCCCAGGTAAAACCGATCCAATCTGTGCCTGCAGGCATCAACACAGAGAAGCCGGCGTTTCTGCTTCATGCACAAGTGGCGCCAGTCAAAACAAGAATACACTTCAACTTGAGTTTACAGATCTGCTGAGGCTGCGTTCTCCTCACTTCACCGCTATACGTCTGCAGAGCAACTCCCAACATGTTCTCTGTCTTTACAGCACTGACTCACGTTTCACTGGCACTCTTCTAACTGTGTTAACCCTTAAAACTGGAAAGAGGATGAATGGTTTTAAAAGACGCCAGTCTGCAGAAAGTTAACGCTGTCCCACTTCCCACTGCTCAAGTCCTGCAGTCTGAGAGAGAGAGAGAGAGAGAGAGAGAGAGAGAGAGAGAGAGAGAGAGAGAGAGAGAGAGAGAGAGAGAGAGAGAGAGAGAGAGAGAGAGAGAAAAAAAAAAAAAAAAAAAAACACTGGCTTCAGCAGTTCCTCCTCTTACAACTCTCTGTAATTAGGGCCCAGTGTTTGCGGGTCCATCTGTCTGCGATAGGGAAACCAGAGCACGCATGGCACGATGCTCTATTTGCTGTACTACGTCTCCTTCTACTGCTTTCTGTCACAATATCAGCCAGTTCCAGTGGATAAAACATTAAGGGAATAGTTTGACATTTTCAGAAAAATGCTCATAACTCTGGTGGTGGTTGGATAAGTCGATTGATATCAAACCAAGCAATGCACTGCTGTAGACACGGACAGCAGAAAAACATATTTAAGCCACCAGTTCATGTGTACTCTAGGTTTGAAATATGTTGACCACTTGACGTTACTGTCTGACAGCCCTTTTCCACGGGTCACTGCAGCCATTATCTGTACTCTCTTCGAAGCCAGTGCCAAAATCTATTTGTTTTTTGTTTGACTTTTGGTGAATCAAAAACCTACGCTACATCTAAGTCACACAATAAATAACTGACATTGATTTTTTTAGATGGGCCTTTAAGGTTACCGTACAAGGTTTTGCTGCCCCACAGTATCACTAGCACCTCATATAACCCCACTTCACACGATCTAAAACAATCCGTCTGGAAAAATGACATAAGTGGCTTGTACAATTTATCACACTGGAGTTTAAGGAGCCTTAAAGTTTAAGATTGCATCTGTGAAAGTAACTTTAAATAAAAGCTCATGGACACGATACATCCAGAGCACTAAAAAATGCTCCCTTCAGGTTGTACTGTTGTAGAGTGAAGTACTTTATTTTTATCTCATGGTCCTCATCCCCTCATGGATAAGATAAAAAGTAGTTAAATGTACATCTTTCAGGAACTCAAGCACGGCAGACAAGGTCACTCCCAGTCTCCACAGGGTTTAGTCAGCAGCTTATCATTACCCATAATTACATAAACAGTTACCCAGGTTGTCTGCTGTGAACACCTGGAGGTCTGAATCTGATTATCTGTCTGTCTTTTTATTCTTTCACTTTTCGTTTGAGGGTTGAAACCTAGCTAACAATAATAGCCCATAAGAAGTTATGAGAGCCTACACCAGGGGTGCCCAATACGTCGATCGCAAGGGTAGTGTGGGTAGATCGCATGGCATTGAAAAAAAAAGAAGGAAAAAAAAGAAAAGTTAGCCTATCATCCATCCTTACTATGGCATTTGCCACTTGATTGACGTACAGGTAAGCCAGTCTGAGTTGTATTGTGCCATACGGGTTCATGCAGTTATGAGGGGGCCTCACCTCCTCATCTGAAGCGCAAATGCGGCGCACTATTATGCGCTTATTGGTGCAATTAGTGTAAGCGCGCCACAGTTTATCCGCCGTTTAGTCCACTAGCACCCCCCCGCTCACGACACAGATTGGGCAGGTAGATCATTTGGGCTTGGTCATTTTAAAAGTAGCTCCCAAGCTGAAAAAGTGTGGGCACCCCTGGCCTACACTAACACATTTAAAAGTGTTATTTTGAATTTGACCTATTTTTGACCTTTATGCCTTCTTGCTGGGAGTTTCTGGAGCCGGAGAAATCTACAGCAAGGAGATGTTAGCTTAGCTTAGCATAAAGACTATAATTGGGAAACAGCTAGTCCGGCTTCATCTAAAAGGTGACAAAAAACTACCAATAAATAACCTTAAATAGATCACTCATTAACGTGTCATATGTTTGTTTTGTCTGTATAAAAACTCATTTCTGTTTGTGTGTGGATTAAAGACATCTCACCAGTGGTACCCACCTGAGATCAGGTACTCCTTCTTGCCGGCGACATCCAGGGTGACGCCACAGACAGCAGACATAGGAGCAGTGAAGATGGCATCGATGTCCTGGGTAGGACCCTTGAACATCTGCAACAACAAAAAAACAGCGAGCGGGTCAAAGGTCAGAGTGAAGGAGGCAACATCTGTTCGATACTCGGATCAGTGTCTTCTTACCTTGATCTGTTTGACCTCATACTGGATCCTCTTGATTGGGTTCCCATAGATATCATTCCCGGTATCCACCTCGCTCTCTCCCACCACCTTCGCTCGAATCACTGTTGAAGAAACAGAGGAACGCAGCGTCAGATTACAAGTCGTAACATGGTACCAATAAAACAGGAAGGAAGCAGAACGCTGCTGTAATCAACCAGATATGAGAACAAGACGTTCTTTGGATCAATTCTTTGTTTGGTTTATAAAGACTCATATCATCAAAAACTTTTCTTTTTCACAATTTCCGAATTCTAAGATGAGGTCTTGATTTGTCTTCTAACCCAGAGATAAATAGTTTATAAGTATATATATATATATATATATATATATATATAAAAAAACAGAAGATCAACACATTCTCACTTGGGAGAAACTGACAGCAGAGATTCCTGCTTCAAAACATGACCAGGAAACTGTCCAAGGAGCTGAATTAAGGAACAGGAGTTCAACTTGAAAGCTGATAGGCAGAGAGAGAAAGTGGGCCAGAGGCATGTTTCTCACCGTGTTTAATGGCCTCAGCGACTACATCAAGCTTCAACTATGCCTAGAGCATTTATTCAGAATGGAACATATGAGCAATAGAGAACCCAGAGTTGACTGCTGTTGCTCTGAGACCCTTGTGTTCAGTTTACGACTTGGAGCAGACACAAATATGGGGGGTTCATGGCTCCCAGAGTTAATAACATCTCTCACTGTTCTCCTCATTTCTTCCTCTTCCTCCTCCTCCTCCTCATAGTCAGTGTTATCATGAAGGTAGGTCTGGGAGAAGGGCCTCGCCTCACACCTCTAATCACCTGTTCAACAAATTCTGCCTTTTTGGTCCTCGATTTAAAAACCCACACTTCCCTTCCCTTCCATTTATCCATCCATCCATTCCCTTTCCCAGTCCTACCCCTATCTTCACACACATCCATCCCCTCCCTACATCCCTTCACCCCCCTCCATCACTGTTTACCTGCTTCCACCCTCTCTCCCTGTCTCCTCCTAATCTCTTTTAGCTGGTGCATATTTTATGTCTGATTCTAGGTATCATCTGGGGCTCCAATTAGGATCGGACAGAAACACAGATGAGACAGAACCCCCCCACTGCGTCTCCTGGGCTTCAGTTTGTCTTCCAGACCAGCCTGACAGACGACATCCACAGATGAAGCCATATTTTCCCAAACACTTTTTCACATCTGAGTCCATGTCAACATAGTATTTAAATCAGATGAAGGAATTTAATTTATTATAGGAAAAGCTGAGCAACAATAACCAGCATGAGGGAAACACTGTGTTAATAAATAACTGTTTTGTATCGGAGTGTCAACAGATTTAATCAGTGGTTTGGAGACAACAACTCCCATGATCCTAAGCTACTTCACAATGGCACCAAACCCCTTATTTTGTTTTTGTTTTGGTTAAAAGAATCCTGGCAAAACATTACATATTGTTTGTTCGATATCATCACATAATTACATTGTTGATACAAGACTACAAACAAGGACAAGGAGGAGACAACATATTTGTTGAGACTGTGATTAAGTGATCTGGGATCAGATACAATGAAGTTGGCTTTAAGCATTGATAACTGGCTTTAAAACGTCTTTCATTAGTGCGTCAGAGGCACCGATCCCAGTTCCTCACGAACAAACCTCTGCTATTGAGCTCCACACACACACACACACACACACACACACCCTGGAGACTTATCCTAACCTTAACCAACACATGCCTAACCCTAAACCTAACCAAACCTTCACCCTAAAATTAATGATTCCCCTCATGGGGACCTCCATTTTGTCCCATGAGGGAGGGCGGGTCCCCACACATCAGAGTGTAAAGATTTAGGTCCCCACAAGTATAGTAATGCTAGGCCACACACACACACACACACACACACACCACACACACACACACACACACACACCCTGGAGACTTATCCTAACCTTAACCAACACATGCCTAACCCTAAACCTAACCAAATCTTCACCCTAAAATTAATGATTCCCCTCATGGGGACCTCCATTTTGTCCCCATGAGGGAGGCGGGTCCCCACACATGAGAGTGTAAAGATTTAGGTCCCCACAAGTATAGTAATGCTAGGCCACACACACACACACACACACACACACACACACACACACACACACACACACACACACACACACACACACACACACACACACACACACACAACACAACACACACACACACCACACACACACACCACACACACACCCCACACACACACACACACACACACACACACACACACACACACACACACACACACCACACACACACACACCACACACACCTGGCTGGCACTCTCTCCTGCCATTCCTCTCAGTTTTTTCCGCTCTCATTTCCTGACCTCATTCTGAGCCACAAACTAATGAGCAAAGAATCAGCAGCAGGACACAATACTGAGGGGTAATTACCCGCTGTTCACCATGGATTGCTATTATGGGAGTTTATCTGTCTACCTTTGTGTTGCAGACGTGTTTACTTTTGAGTTGTAGCCCCTGCAATAAAGCCAGAGCGGATCATCCTGTGCAGTCTAAACAGCGTGTGGCGGAGGCGGCAGACTACACAGCGTGAAGCTAAAACAGCACGAGTACCGGGAAGCCTGCAGGAGACCCAGCCCCACCACAGATTGATCCTAAAGTCATCCGATCACCAGCAGTCAATCACCAGCTAAAGGACCCCCTCCATAAACTACCAAGTGACCCACATTTCCCCCACTCCCCCAACCAGGGCAATGTTTAATGACTTATACATGCGTTTCAGTCGCACTACGCAATGTTTTCCATGCATACCTCGTATAAAAGCCCCACATCCTAAGTGCCCCCCCATTCAATCCCACCGCTGATGTGGTTTGTCCAGCTCCAGACGGACGTGGGCCTTCTGTTAAACCTGTCATTTAACCAGAGACAAACTGCCCATAAACGCAGTTCAACCGTCCTCATGACCTCCGAACACATCTGGGTGAAGACCTGTGCAGCAAAGACAACAACTCTAGATTCCTTTTGAGCATTTCATTATCAAAGTAGAGATGCTATTAGTCGACTAAACAGATTAGTAGACACACAAATAATCTGCAAATATTTTGAATATCCATTCATTGTTAAAATGGTCAAAAAAAGTTCTCTTAGGTTTGGGACTGCCAATATATGAGACATCATATGACATCACCTTGGAATTTGAGAAGCTGGGATGGATGTTTTCCACTAATGTCACTATTGTTTGCACCAGTTTAACCTAGAAAATAACTGGCAGATAAATAAATAATGTATCAAGGTGATATGAGAGTCAGATTAGCAAGAAATAATTATCGACTTTTTTGTTATTGTTCTTGCTTCCTTCCTTCTAGTGCAGGGGGGTCAAACTCAAATACACAGTGGGCCAAAATTAAAAAATGGGCACTAGTCGAGGGCCGGACTGCTTCAATGTTTATTGCAGAACTTATTGAAATGAACTTATTGCACATATTAAACCTGGAACTAACAAAGCTTCAATGATTGCCTATAAAAACAACATTAAACATTAAATAATCAGTTGTATTCATTTCTTATGGCTCTATCTGCAGCTTTTCTGAGTCATTTCTTATAATTACATTTTTCCACCGGCCAACAACAGCTTCAAACAAACTATTTCTCTCAAAGAGAAAACCAAACATGCTCTGTTGTCGTGAGAAAAAAAGTGCAGAAGGAAACATCCATTAAACTCAGTGTGCTGCTCTGTGATGCTAGTTCAGATACTTGGCATCTCATCTTGGGTGCAGGTTCATCAATGTTTGGGCTCATGCTCTGAGCGGAGGAGACCCTCAGGATGGAGTGAAGGTGTGCGTGCAATATACCGGCGGGCCAGATCTAATAGGAATTAGAAATTATCCTGCGGGCCGAAATGAAATCCACCACGGGCCTGATTTGGCCCCCGGGCCTTGAGTTTGACACATTTATGGATTTATTTAGAGCAACATTAACTTTGATTTGTAGTTGTGTTCAGGTAACATTATGAATTGAAGTCCAATACTCTTTTAGCTTTGTTTTTGGTCTCTACAAACTCCTGTGGGACATATCTTTCTCTTAAGCTGCTAAATGCTCCAATATGTTCACCAGCTAGTCGCTAACTGTGTCTGTCTACTGTTTAGTGCTGATCATGTGGTGTGCAGTGTTTGTTTCATTTTCACTGACATCAGCTGCCTGCTGCTACTGGAGACAATGCTAATTGAGAGCTGAATAACTGAATTAAAATGTGGGCAAGAAAACCAAAACAATGAGCTGAAATGTCAATTTTTGCAGCCTTAATTTTCCATTTCTATAAATGAGTCAGTGTGTTGTTGCATGTCCACAGTCAGTTGATTCTGCTCTTCCACAACGCCCAGCGTCTGGACATTGCAGGGCTGGGCTGCTGGGGAAGTTCCCCTTTGTGGGCAACAGATTTAAATGAAAAGAGGATGTTTGTCTCTGCAGTTAGTGAGTGTGTGTGATTGTGTGGTAGGTGCATGACAGTTTTAATGGCTTGGTTTTGAGCTACCGCATCATTTAGCATGAAAAACAGAAGGTGACACACACTCATGCTGCCAGCCCCTGCATGTACAGTATGTGTGTGAACTCGAAACAAGTGGGATCCAATTTCACCAAAACAAACACCAAATTGTCAGACCACATAACTGGTGACAAAGTCACCGCCTACAGATTCTGGGCAACCAGACAACCAACTCTATTATGATTCTTTGCAAGCCTGCAAAAAAACATTTCTGCTTCTAAGATCCCCCAAAACCAGTGTCAACCTCAAATCCACCCTGGAACCATCGCTGGACAATGACATTTACCCATGTGCCTTTAAAAGTACATCATCCCTGCTGACAAAACTGACTCATACCACCTTTAAAAACAACATGAGCAACTAGACACAAATACACCTCTCTTAGACTTCCAGTTCCAGCGACTGAGTCACACCTGAAAAAAGAGATGTCAGATTGCAATAAGAAATGACTGGGATACACATCCTATTCACAAACACACACCCGTGCATGTGTGTGAATAAGGATTCTAGAGAAGGAATAAAAGATGGAACCAAAGTAGTGTGGTTTAGGAGTTTCTCATTCTCAAAGATACCATACATATTTTCACTTGGACTGTGACTTTTATTGCGTTTCCTTCTAAAACACACCCTAAACTGACAGCCAGATGTCATTTGTAGCCAGAGTATGTGTGTGTGAGTGAGCGTCCACAATGCATAGTGCTGGGGCCCAGTAGTTGTGTGGTACGAGTGTGTGTCCCTGCATTACACACCGGAGCAAAAGTTGGGAAAACCCCAGCAGCATTCTTGTAATTCCTCCCAGCACCACCCCTCACAGGAAGAACCAGGGCAGGAATGGAATGTGGTGAAAGCTTGCGGTGTGACTTATTTCTTGTGTTTAGACGTAAACCCCTCCACCCTTAAAAACATTTCTCTTCACATTCTCCATCCCTTGTCCTCCTCTCTGCGTTTCCCATCCTCTTCTCTTTATTTCCTCTCTTGTGCCACGTTGCCCTGCAAAAGCCAGGCGACGCTGCTCTGTCCCACTGCAGCTGAGGGGTGAAGCCACCCTCCGCTGCAGACCTGAGACATTATGTACAGTGATGGGCCCAGCCTGTGTTGCACTGACGTACACAAACATAGTGCTCTTCGTCTCTTCCACCCCGCGATACAACAGTAAGGTCCTCTTATTGTTGGATTTAGAGCAATGAATTGAGATATTACATTAAAATCAGAAGACATATTACCATAAAGGTAATTATAATTCTTACAGGTGATTTTAAACTCATTATAGTGATGTTTTAATTAATTTGAAATTATTTATTTTTTAAAAGTGCATGTCCTAATGGGTTTTGGTCCTTATCATACCTCGATGAAACCTCAACAATATGCATTTTTTATTAGCTACTGTGTTTCCCAAATGGCTACTTTTGAAATTGAAAATGTGTAGTGTTACCATAAAAGTCATTATAATACTTGCAGGTCATTTTAAACTCCTTGTTGTGATGTTTTAATCAATTTTTGGGGACTTAAAAAAAAAAATGTTGCATGTATGTTTGTTGGCCCCTAATGCATCCATGACACCTAAACAACATACTCGTTCTCTTTCTGTGTTTCCCAAATGGCTACTTTTGTATTGTAAAGGTGTATTGTTGTCAACATGACCACCAGACAAAACATGACAATGGGATCTGCGTGTGTGCAGTCTGGCAGTGGCCTTGAAGAGGACCCTCCACCTTCAGGCTTTCCAGAGGTTTCCATCAGCTTCACTGAGCCCGTTCAGCGGGAACCGGAGCCGGACTGAGCGGCTGCAGGCAGCTCCCGGTATCTGCGCAGGAGCCTGGTGCAACATGGGTAAACAACAACAAACAGACCACAACAGTCCCTGGTGCTGTACTCACCTACGTCGGCGTTGCAGAACGCCTGTTGCGGATGGACCGGGGCACAGCTGCACGCTTCCGCGAGCTCCTCCGCCCGCCAAAGCAACAGCAGCGCGAGCGTGCAAAGGATGCCGTTAACGTTAAACGGCATTTTCATAAACGGTGATGCGACGTTTCTTCAGCCTCTCCGGTGCTGCGCAGATGCGTTGCAGTGTAGCTCCAGCGGCAGCCCCCCCCCCTCCGCTGTGTGTTGTTTACCGACAGAAACCTGCTAAACAGCCCCGGGCGGTGTGCGTGCTCAGCTCCGATGTGACGGTGAGGTTTCGCTATGTGCTCCGGTGTGACGGGATGGGTATTGGCTGGTGTCTGCACTGCAGCTGTCTGTCTTTCAGGGAGTGTTTTCTTTTCTAGGGTCAAGGCGGTTTTATAAAGCGCCCGGCTCCTCCCCGCAGCAGTACCGGCCGAACCGGCAGGGGGCGCTGTGTCGTTCAGCTGGAACAACTGGAGCTGCTGCTTTAAAAAAACTAATATTTAATTTATCTCAAAATATACTTCAGTTTCCATATGTGACTGGCCGTATTCCCAATATTTTAGTAATAATATATGTTTAACTCAGAAAATGTAATAAACAATGTTTGCATATAAACAATTGATAGAAAAGTGTGGCACAAATCTGTCACTGCAGTCAGATGAGTTTCCCATACAGTAATAGTCCGAATAGTCGATTAATCGTTTCATTAATCGATAGATTAATCGATTATAAAATTAGTCGTTTGTTGCAGCCATATTGTAGTTATCCCATGTATAAATAAAACGTGTTATTCAGCAACCCTTGCAATTTGGGATTTTATTTTTGGTTGGAAGACCTCGGTGAGCTGGTCATTTAAAAAGTAGCTCACCAGCCAAAAAAGTGTGGGCACCCCTGATCTAGAAGGTTTATTCACAATTTTTCGGTACTTGATGCTAATGTTTTCTTCTACTCTAGAATGTTTTAATTCTACACTTCTAATATTGTGTGTTTTCTACACAAAGAAAAATGTTCCCCTTAAACTTCTTACATTTGTAAATAATCAGAACAGAATGCGATTATATATAATAATATAGCTACATCAACAGGTTTGTGTAGTCACAGATTACATGTAATCATGATATATTTAGATTCCAAAAGTAAGTAACTATAATCAGCCTAGATTATATTGGAAAACATGTAAAGTAGATATCTACATTGTGAAAGATTACTATATTTCATCATTAAAATGGGGCAATTAAAAAAAACTATTTCATGACATCAATTTAAAAAAATACTGTTTTATGTAATCCTGAAGTTTTCAGATTAGGTTAAAAGATTTGTAATCAAATTAATTTAGATACCTATTGCAAGAAGTGTAATTTAATTTATAATGAGTATCAACATACCTCACTTAATCCTGACACCATATTGTCAGGGTTTTGTTGAGCCGAAATAAAAACACACAGGACGCTGTATTTCAAATTAGTGTGGTTTTATTACATTTTGTTCTGAGGATCGTGGCACAAAGCATCATGATCTGACTGGTAAACCATTTCCGAAAAATCCTGCTAACAGGTCACACCTCTACCTCCATTCTGTCAGAAGATGGCAGTGTGCTCCCCTTTTATCACACAACCTATTTTCACAGTCTTAATCCATGCATAGAAGTATTTCTGTGGTTTCCTAGTACAGCACAATTTGTTTTAAAGACAATAAATCCAGCAGTATTGTTGCTCCTGCCGCTTTGAAGAAGGCACAGATTGTAAGAAACGTTGAGCCACAAGACGCAAACAACTACAGATGAGACATGAAGGACAAACTAACAGTTCTAATGTGACTGAGAGGAAATCATTTGGTTTCTCAACAGGAGTAAACAATGCCCCTAGCATCTGTCTATTGTAAGAAATAATTTGAACAAAAAATAAAGAAACTGTTTAAAAAGTGGCATGGTTGTTCATAAACATCCCACCAATAAGCACCAATGTGATGATTTATGGAAATTAGCATTTCCTTTTTACTAATAATTGGAAAATGAATTCATAAACACATGTGTAATCATTCATTTGTAGCGAGTAGATGATGCTAATCTAAGCCTCAGAGGCCTTTGTTGAAGTATACATGTTTAACAGCTTGTCCGTATTGAGACACAATGGAGTCTCTCAGCTCGGGCTCCAGCTTCGATACGGCCATAGAGCTGAGAGAGACAGATAGACGGAGATTTTAGGAAAGCAGGGTCCAAAGGAGAAAGAAAAAGAAGAGAAACATGATGTTCGATTAAACAAGCTGATGCTGGTTCATGATTACAATGTGTTTAAAGGACATACTTTATATTTGTTGTCTTGTTTTTATTTACTGCTGCTGTTACATAGATGGATGGATGGATAAGTATTACTTATCTGCAATTAAGTTTTCTACAACCCTTCATTATATTTCCTAATTTAGATTTGCCCACCAAATTCTTTCACCCCAATATCTCATTTTCCAAATATGCACTTCTTGTGTCAGTACATATTTAGAAAAGGCGTCAGTGGTCAAGTTGCAATGTGGGTATTGTAGGACCAAGTTTTGACAAGGAAGGATTAGTGGAATATAAAAAAGGAATTTATCTCTGGTGCTGCTTCATCAATTTCCACATCTTTCAAAAACAGTTTATGTGAGTCTGAGGAGCTCATTTAAGGAGCTCAGTCCTCAATCAACACCGTCTTTAAGCTACATATCAGTCAGCAGGTGAGAGGAAATGTTTTTTTTACCATCTTTGAGGGAACAGCGAGCAGGCGGCAGGCACCATAAAGACCAAACTGTAGATGAAAGAGGGAAAAAAATGTAGTATTTCCAACGACGAAAAAACAATAACAATAGATTATTATCCATGTTGTGGAAATGCATCAAACTTCTGTGACGCTGAACCCCTCTCTACTTACAACGCTCCCACCAACATCACTTGAATTGGTCCGTGGAGATACGTGATTCTCTGTGAAAAGACAGACAGAGGTTTGATCAAACCTTCAATAATAATGTAGAGACTAGGCCACAAATATACTCTTTGCTACAGTAATTCCTAGATTATTTTTCTAATATGTGATGTCAATAATCACTATGTAAAGCAGCTTGTCTTGGATTACTGAATATTAATGTACTGTACTGTTTTTATGCGTTTTTTCACTAAAATAACAAATGACAGACCGACAAAAATGAGGACTGATGCCCACTTTAGCCGTATGAAGGTTAGGGTTAGGTCAATATAGTCAAAGTCAAATATATGTATTACTGTGTATCCAAATATATATAAATAAAAAGGTCTAACCTGCATGAACTTATATTTTTCCATCCTTTGCATGATGATGGGGAGGATGACTGAGAGCAAAGAAGAAGAAAGGGTTAACTTGAAGAACTAAATACAATATTTATAGCATTTTAAGAGGAGACGTCTTTGCGTACTCATTCCTGGTGCCGCCATGGTGATCCGGGAGACGACCACCTGGGTGATGCCTTTTACTGCGGCTTTCTGCAGGGACATGAAACAAGATTCAAAGACACTTCACAAGGAGTTTATTTATAGAAAATAAAGAACAAAAAAGCTTTCCGTTATTATTCATTAAGTGTCTTAAAGTGCGTCCAGAGTGCTGACCTTAGAGTGACCCAGTTTGTTGCCATTTTCATCTGTGACAGCAATGCCATTCAGAACTTCCCTGAAAGCAAAGCAGAGACAAAAGAGAGATGACGTAAAACTCAATCAGTCATCTATGCTAGTTGTAGACAATCTGCTAAGTGGCCAATATGTTGTCTTCGCTTCAGGGTGAACCTTAAGTGTTTAAAACCAAGCTAAAAGACTCATTTTAAACAGGAAATACAACATTAAAGCAAAAGGAGCATTAGCAAAATCTTCACAAGGCCAATTATTGGAAGAGTGCTGCAGAAAGTACACACAACAACATTTCATAAAGACGCTTTCAGTCAGCGGGAAACTGTAAACCTCTGTGACATTTCAAGGTGATCTATTCAAGGTTAATGTATTGTTATTCTACACAGGGTCGCACAACAAAATGCAAGTTGTAGTCTAGTAATGGAGAAGCCGACAACCAAAACAAGTCTATATTGACATCTAACCTTGTTTTACTATTTCTACATTATTATTATAATTTGGCCTCCACAAACATGATTACGGTCTTAATACATTTGAAAACAAAAACCTACTCTGCATGGAACAAGATGATCTTTAAGGTTCTAGCACAGAGAATGTGACAAAACTTCTCACAGTTTCTGATCCAAGAAAAGTACTTGTTTTTTTTTTAAGCACATCTCACCAATAAAATGTGCACAGAACAGTACAACAATACCTCTTGAGTCTGCATGTATTTTTAAGGAGTTGAGGCAGTAACACAGCAGGACTTACTGTTGCCTCATCATAGGAACGTTAACACAGTTGGCTGAAGCCACCGCGACAAAAGGAACCCAGCGAGCCACGAGGGGGGGGGCTTTCTGCAAAGTGAAGAGGAAAAGGTGTTTTAAGATCATTCAGCTTTTTACTTTACCTCACATAGCACTGAAACACAGTCAGAGAGGTAGGGAACAGAAAGTAAAGACTATCAATAATAATAATAGCTTGGATTTATAGAGCGCCTTTCAAGAAACACAAGGACGCTTGACAATAGGAAGAGGGGATAAGGAAAACAGTCACACAACAGGGATGAGAAAATAAGAGAGAGAAAAAACAAAGAGTTTTCAAAGATGTATTAACAGAAAAAAAAGTAAGCTTTTCCCAGAGTTTTCAAACTCATCAAATTCAGCTGTGCCACGGTGATGACTCAACAACTTTGGAAATCATAAAGCAAAATGTGTCCCCATTAATGCACATGAAGAGAGTTCCCTTTGTGGGAACACCTTTATTTTGCCAATGAAGGACATCTCAAATAATATTAGCACATTGTTACAGTGCATTTCCCAACAAAGACATTACAAATGTACATAAAGCGTCAATATTCTGAGTAAATTCTGTAATGCATTGTTTGCAAAGCGCATTTCTCCTGTTGCTAACATGAGGCAGGAAAAATGTCGGACTGATTCCTCGTTAAAGTAATACAGATAATATTTGTGATACATGAAGTTCAGAGAAGAATTTCTAGATAAACATAAAGTTAACCTTGATCAGGAACATAGTGTTGTATGAATAAACGTTCTTTGTGTGATTGTACCTTTGTGTAGAGATTGAGTCCGACTGCGGTTGCTAACGCGGTACTGGTTGCTGTGAAGTAGGCTACTCCAATCTGCCTGAGAGAGACGATAAAAGTATTTTACACATACGGAAAAGGACATTGCTGGCTTCATCTGTCTTTTAAAAGTGATGTCAATGTAGTTTTATGGTAATAAAACTACATTGACATTCCATGGTGTGTTATTCCTAAACTCTACAAATACAGCCAGATGACTTTTTAGTGCTGAACGATAATCATTTTAAATCAAGATTTTGTATTGAATGATTGTTTTATTTAGTAAGATGCTGTGTAAAAAAGGGAGACGATGACCTGCTCGCTGTTCATCCCTTAATTATTTCCTTGGTGGCCAACAATAGATGCATTTATTGTCTCATTGTGCTGCTGTTGCCTTTACGTGAATGTGACAGTATCAAATTCAGACAGGAAATGATACTTAGTCCAACAAAGTAAGATTAATGATGTGGATTTAAAATAAAAGTATCTTGGGAAATTATTCAGACTTGAGACTTACATGTTACATTGCCTTGCATGACAGCAGGGTTATGGTTTAAAACATATAAAAGTTTACAATTCATTCTTACTTGGGAGTGATGGGGGAGGCAGCGTTACGGTTGGTGTAGTTGACCAGAGCGTTGAAGGACTGATTCACCCACTGCCAGAACACCACAGCAGGAACTGTCCTGGAAAACAGACTGTTATGAAACCTCAAAATCTTCCCTCTGTGAAAATATTGCAATGCAGTGAAATGCAGCTCGCCCTGTTACCTGTAGAACTGCAGCATGAGGCCGGTGATGGCCATACCTCCAGGGACCTGGAAGGACATGCGGCCGATGAGGTTCATGCGGTCTCCGGTGTCGGGGTGGAAGGCCGAGTCGTACAGCTTCTTGGCGTAGTGGAGCTGCTCCTCTGTGGTCCCGGGGGGGACAGATCCCGCCCTACAGAGCAGCACATACACACATAATCAACCAAACAACACATTTTCATACCATGAACTGCATGCAGAGAATATCATTTTTCATGTTGAAACTCGCAGATGACAGTTAACATGCAGGGAATGAGGAAAATCCATCTAAAAGTTGGTGTTGACATATTGTGTGTTATGTTACACTTGGTTTAAAATGATTTCATTTAATATAAAAATCTGTATAGGAGTTAAAGATGTTTTGGAACTAAAGGCCTGCCCTAAATAGTTTACCCAAGTAGCTTTGGATACTGTAAATCGAATATGCATACATTACGACACATATTTTAATGTTTCAAATGATTGCAAAGCCAGACACAAATGATACTTTAGGTTGTTTATTTGATCAAACTGCTGAATTACAATGCAATAAGTGGCTGTTGATCATCATACTGTGAACAATTACTGTCTCTGTGTGACATGACTTTTAAAAAATGTGTGCAATAGTACTTTTAAATATCTATCCCAATATTATAATTGTTTTACTTTTACCAGATGTATCTGACTTTATTGTTATTCTAATAGATAGTGGTGTAAGTACTACTCCCTAAACACTTTATATGTATTACTCTATTTATTTATATATTGTAATGTTGTTGTTTTTCTTTTGCCATCTGGTGCACAAACATTTCCTTTGGAATAATAAGGTTTTATCTTATCTCCCAGATAACATTTGGTCTGAGTGTTTATCTTCTTACCTGCAGCTATCCACTAAAGCTTTGGCCTCATCCAGGCGTGAATTAGGTAAGGTCACCGTTCTCCAGTCTGTGATGTTGAAGAAGTGATTCAATCGACCCATAAACGTGGACTGGTCCCATCGCGGTGCGTCAATGTCGAATGAGCTCGAAGCCATTGTGGGGGTTAAAAAGCAGGCCTGACTTAATGCATGAAAAAGTTCAAATCTTTGAAAGACCCTCGTTTACTCTGCAGGACGTTACTCAGCAGTCGAAACCTGCAGAAAAAGAGGACAGTCATGATAAATAAAATATGCTGATCTATAGTACTGGCAGTAACTATAGTAGAACATACACTGATACATAGGTAATGACTGAATTACATGCATTTCTCTTGTCCGTTTAAAACGGGTTCATGTTTGTTTTCAAACCAGACAGACCTGGTTTGAGCTGATGTAACACTAACAGATGTCTTTGCTCAGTGGGTCAGTGAGGACAGGCTAGTTTACCTTTAAACTCACATACCAACAAGGTTTACCAAGACTGCAGGTCAATAATCAATTAGTTGATCAGAAGAAGCCAAATATTTGCTGGTTACAGTCTTTCAAATGAGGGGAGCTTTTCTTCATCTTATGATAGTTAATGAAGTATCAAAAAACTAAATCACTTTTAAAGAAAAGGGAATTAGAACCCACTGTTTTGTTCTTTTTTACATTCGTAGACTTAACTATTCGTTGAGAAACAGAACAATTGATCAAACTGTAAGGATATTTATTACATGCAGGCCTAAGGTACCCATGTTGGCCTTAAACCTCAGCAACCTTGTGAAAATGGTGTTTGAGATACTGTATGTATCATACTGAAGTGTATTTTTCTTGCTCTCCCCTCCTAAAATGTTGGATTGCCAGCAGGTGCCCTTGGGTTTAAACTCAACCCCGAACAAACACCAACTCTTGTTTCTCCCTAAAAAATTCTCCAGGGCCAAACTTCCTCTACAAATGATTGACCACCTCCTGGTAAATGTTTCCACAGGTTCTCGTATTTGGTTTTTGCAGTGGCAGCATTACACTTTTAATACACAACCAGAGGAACCAGAATCTGCTGACTTCAGCTCGAACGATCCCACTGTGCATCTTCACCATTAGATACGAAATTAATAAACATAGGTATTCAGTGAAATCTCACAATGGAAACCAGCCTTGTGTGGTTTAGCAGTGTTCTTTGGAGGCTCAGTCTGGCTCAAACTGGATTGTTTCGGCAGCCGTTTGTTGTATGTAGGCTAAAGGCATGCAGAACCTTGCAGGCAACATTGAACATGAGACACATGTCAACGTGTCCATACATACCACCATAAAGAACATATGAAGCCTACAACTACATGTTATTTTTATCCGTTCACTAAATGTGAAATGTCCCAGAGCCGAAAACCAGCCTTAGGTATAACTGAATGTGTCTTTTGGAAGTTGCATTGAACAGTGTTGTATTCATTTGTGACATGTTCTGAAGCAAACTAATTTAGCAAAACACAGGAAGATGAATCGATCATGATAATTAGGTAAGTTGCATACCCGCATGTAGGGGAAGGTATGGTTAAGAAATAAATAGGGCTCGGTGCATGCGGCATGTCATGTCATGTAAAATTGACCTGAATCTTGAGAAACTTGATCTACATGCCGTAGCGTAGCAAGGAGCACCTGAACGCATCTGGATAACTAACACAACGATGACAGCTGTTTCAGGATTGTGTGTGCATAAAATATGTGTAATTAATCACTGAGTTCCACTCAAATAAGACATAAGCTCGACGTATACAGATTGCTTAGTGTAGTGTGAAGTCTACCAACCAAAGCAGTTAAAACGAAAGATTAAAAACATGTCAGTCCGAGCTCAAAGTGATGCAACTCATAACTCGAGATACCAGCTGACTTCTGCAGCTAGGCAGATACAGATAAACTAACAAGACACGTGCATCGACACACAGGCCGTATTCTTGCGAGACAAGAACATGGACAACCTACCTTTGGAAGATTTCTCCTCACCCTCAACAGCCCTACAGAGCAACCTGTCAGGTAATCAAATGTGCTCGTGTGGCATAGTAAAAACACGTGGCATGCCCTCGTCCAATCACGGGCTGGGGCAGCTCCCGAGTTTACGGCCAACCAAACTGTTATGCTAATTAGCTAGGTAGCTTATTAGCTCTTTGGCAGTATAGTTACTTAATCGTCTCAGATAGAAATGAGACACATTTTACACAGCAACTTATTTGAACGTCTGTTGAAAAGGGCCGTCCACATAATTAAACATGTGCATTGTGCATTAATTATTGCTGTACATTTGAAACATTCAGCTGTTAGCAAGCAGCTAACCAAAACTCCGCATCCATATTTGGGGGTTGTGCCTGAGTTCTGCGTGACTTTGCGTCTGACGTCATTCCCCCCTAGTAACCCTCGGCGGCGTCTCCAAGAGAGAAGGCAACAAGATGGTGAGTTCAATTTATCGTTGTAATTAGCTATTAACTCTATACATCAAGCAAAACTATTTAACATATTTCAATTTAGTACCACTTAATGTAATACATTGGAGATGTAAGAGCTGCTGCTGTCTGCAATCTGCGGAGAAAAACATTAAACTGCAAAGCTGCCTTGTTGCTTCGTTCAGTCATCAGGGGAGATTAGCTTAGCACGTTAGCTACGCTTAGCTCATGTTTGCGTGCCGTTAACCAACCTTTCACTATAACAACAAGCACGCAAAGCCCAAAAAATAATCAAGTCGATGTGTATAGCTACTCTCACCAAGGACCAGTAGTTGTCGTTATGTGTGGGTACCGTTAGATGTTTACTCATCTTCTAAAGCCACAGTGGGGATATAAATGCACTTGCACGGCCTGTAAATGGGGAATCCGGCGGATGGAGGGAAGAGATGCGGATCTTCGAGGTTTAAAAAATGAAAACTACGCATTAACGTAAATGTACCTCCAGAAGGAAAACAGTGTCACTTAATTTTACAATATACACATTCAAGAGAAGAACTCATTAGACAAAAGTTCAACATTGATCGCAATAGATAGAGTTTTTATAGCAATATTTTCTGTTGTGACATGTTTGATTTGTTAGAATCACAATTACATATTGATTCATATTTGAAGATGACACAACTGAATTCTACAGAACACTGCATTTAAAAACATGCATGTAAACAAGTGCCATAAGTGTTAATGTTTTCAGAAACAAGTCAAACGCAAAGTGTTATTAGAATAGACCCTATTTTTTTTAATATTCCATATATGTGTTTGTCCCTATGGGTAAACATTTCTGTTCAAATTGTATGATCCATTTTCTAAAGAGCCTTTTCATTGCTTCATCGCAGGGATTGCTGTCTATCCTGCGTAAGCTAAAGAGCACACCAGACCAGGAGGTGAGGATACTTCTTCTGGGCCTGGACAACGGCGGGAAGACCACCCTGCTCAAACAGCTGGCATCTGAGGACATCAGCCACATCACCCCCACACAGGTATAGACATAAAAGACATAGAATCAAAGGGATGCGTGCACCACGTGTTATTGGAGCAAACAGACCTAAAACAACATGGATGGATTATGTTGTATATCTGTCTAACCTTAAGCTTTATGTTTCGTCTTGTCTCCAGGGATTTAACATTAAAAGCGTCCAGTCTCAGGGTTTTAAACTGAATGTTTGGGACATTGGGGGCCAGAGGAAGATCAGGCCGTATTGGAGAAACTACTTTGAAAATACAGATGTGCTGGTGAGTGAAGCATGATGCACCAAACACATTAAATTAGCTTTGTCTACATCGTGATTTTGATCCGTTCGTCCGTGTCACAGTTTATCGCACTGAGGACCTGCTGTATGTGCTAACAAGGAAAACTTCCATTTTGTTTCAGATTTACGTAATTGACAGCGCTGACAGAAAGAGATTTGAGGAGACAGGTCAGGTGTGTGTTCTGGAAGATTGCATATTTGTTACCAAAGTCTCAAAACGGCAACTTATTGTTTCATTATCCTGAACCCCTAGATTCCCTTTTTTATGGGACATAATATGTTTATGTGTACCTGACAGATGTTTGTGTGTGTTGCAGGAGCTGGCTGAGTTGTTGGATGAAGAGAAGTTGAGTGGCGTTCCAGTGCTGATCTTTGCAAACAAGCAGGACCTGCTGACAGCCGCCCCGGCCTCGGAGATCGCTGAGGGACTGAATCTGCACACCATCCGGGATCGCATGTGGCAGATCCAGTCCTGCTCGGCCCTCACTGGGGAGGGCATTCAGGTGAGGAGACAAGCTGCACATTCCTGTACCGAATATTTAAAGCTTTAAAACAAAAAAAAGGTTGATAGTTTTGTTATCTGTTCTTTGTGTTTAAAGCTACTGTTTCTGCACAGTTTCAGATAGAGATAAGGCTACACCAATACTATTACAACATTTGCAGAATTAGATTCAAGATTACCTCCAGAGCGTTGTAAATTCAAAGGTCAAGGAAGCACACACTGACAAGCTACAGTCGTAAAAAAAGTTGTATTCATTTAATCCTATTAATTATTTTATTGAAATCGGGGATTTTGTACAAGGACGTTTTAAAATCTTTTTATGGCGATTATGTCGTAAAAAGAGATGACAGACATTTAAAGTGTCATTCCCTAATCATCAATAGAAAGCTTATTTTCGTATTCCTCTTCTCTCTTTTTTATTTATTTATGATTTGTTAGTATTACTGATTTTATAAACTTGTGGGATCCACCGTGGAAGTATGAAGTAAAAACAAAACAGCTCTAGAGCTAAGTGTTACTTGTTTGCATCATTTTGATGTGCCTTTTTTAAAAATTGTTTCTTAAATTCACTTTCAGGAGGGCATGAATTGGGTGTGCAAGAGCGTCAACTCCAAGAAAAAATAGCTTTGCTTCTAGTCTACAGCAGCTACACATACACTGACACACACTGCACCCTCCTGAGCCTTAGTACGATGGATATACCTGTGAATGTAAACACACTACTAATCCAACATGGACCTGGAGATTTAAATCCCCCTGCATTCCCAGATTTCTGATGTTTACTTATCTCAGAACATCTTCCTACGCTACAAAGAGGAGGGGCGTTTTGACTTTAAAGGGAACACATGCCAGGAAATTGACCTCCTCCACCCAGACTACCTGCGTCACCATCCGCCGCCTGTCCCAAACATTCCCATTAAACTGCCGTCTTTCATTGGAATTCCAGCCTGTCCTTTAAACTCTTTCACACACTGTCCTGGAAACCAGTCTCCTCCTCCTCCTCTTCCTCCTCCTCCTCCTCCTCCTCCTCCTCCTCCTCCTCCTCCTCCTCCTCCTCCTCCTCCTCCTCCTCCTCCTCCTCCTCCTCCTCCTCCTCCTCCTCCTCCTCCTCCTCCTCCTCCTCCATCTCCATCTTGTTCTTACAGGTTGAAATCTTTTTTTCTTTTGTATCATTCCAAGATGGCTGTACGCTTTTTTTCCTGCTACGGCTCTGTTTGAAGTGAGGTATATTTTTGTAATTGTTTTATTTATGGTGAAGTAGAGTGCTTGCAAACAACAACTCTGTGTGTGGTTTTAAAGAATGTCGGAGAAACGATTCCAGCTCTCCCCTATAAAGAATTATATTCTACATGTTAATATGTACAAAATATAATAAAAGTTGAGTTTAGAGGAACAACGCTTTTGGATCAAGTGTAAATATCTTGGCCCTGTGGTCACGTGTTACGTTATACACATGTTATAGAGTATATGTTGTAGTCTATAATATTTGCATATCTAATATGTGCAGATTTTTAACAGAGGTATAAGTACTGTACGTCCCAATTCATTGCTTTGTGCTTATAGGGTTTGTGAGGGAATTCACTTTTTGGCATTTCCTTTTGATATTCTTGAATGTAACCTGTCCAGAATTGAAGGTACTGTATGTGAATAAAAAGGATAAGAAATATTGAGTCGTTGAGTTTTCATTTATTGAATGACTTGTCACACCGACATACTTTAGTGACTCAGAGGCTGGAGAGGTCACACAGCAGCAGCAGGTGGAGTCAGCTGTTCATGACAGCATGGAGCCTCTGTGGGAGACAGCAGACGAGCACACACAGTATTCAGGGCATTGGATTACAGAGAGCATTGAATCCATTATTTAAATCATGTCAACGATATAGCATTATATTCTAAATGATTATCAATATTACTTGTGTATATATTGATCAAGTATTACGTGAAAGGAAAGACAGAATTCATTTTTAAACGTTATATTAAAAATAAAAGGCCAAAGACATTGTCAAAACAGGGAAAATTGAAAGGATGGGTAACATTTTCCCACATATGAACAACTTAAAGACAGATATAGCTTGGGGGAAAAACCCAACCAGGATTATTACAGAATCTAATAAAGCTTTCAGAATAGGTCAAGAGCTGATAAACATAATAAACCTACTTCTGCCTCACAAAAGGTAAAAAGCTAATTTAAAGCCATTTTTAACACATTTTACAATATAAATTACAGGTATATTCACCTATAGTTGCGTATACATATTATTCTAAGAAGTAAAATGATTTCCAGGGGGGTAAAAACAACTATTTACCACCCAAATTCTGCTTTAGTTAATTCCTTTTTCTCTATAAGTGGACCTCTCTCCGAAAATGTAACTGTTCTTGAGGTCATTAATGTACTTTCTAACTCAATATACTGTGCAGTTTACCTTTTTCTCTCCAGATAAAACCACCTGATAACGGGGAAATAAATACATTGCAATAAAAAGTACATGGAGTAGAAGTAGAAAATGGAAATTTAATGTGTGGCTCCTTAAGATACCGCAGGTCCTTCCTGCAGCGGCCCCTAGTAGACCCCCCCACACACAACAACACAGACTATAACACCTCTTGTTGTTAAATACCAACTATGTGAAATATATATATATATATGCCGTTAAAAACTGCAATATATACCTGGCTGCTAAATCCTCAGAACTGTTACAGGGTGTGTATTTTTGTAAAATGTGGAACTTTTTTATTATAATTTCTTTTTTTTACCTTTATTACTTTTTTTGTATTCATGCTTATGTGACATTAAGCTGTCTTTGGCTCTTTTCTGCTGTAGCTATGTCAATTTCCCCTCTGTGGGACTAATAAAGGTATTCTGATTCTGAAGCAAATTCACTTTCTTACCACTCACAGTATTACAAGATGTGTGTTCCTTGTGTGAGTCAGGGATTGTTCCTACACCCTTCGGTAAATGGAAACAGGCTGCAGTATACTAAATATAATGTAAAATGTGGTTTGTTCTAATAGACAGGAGTGTCAGGCGGCTGGTGCTGTTTTCACCTGGATGTGTAAGTGCCTCATGGCCTGGGGCTGAGCACCAGAAGCTTGATTTGTTTGTAGCCTTTATTTAACCAGGTGAAAGCCCCTTGAGATCAAAAGATCTCTTTTTCAAGGGTGACCTGCAGGACATTAGTTACACATGTAACATAAAAACAACAGAACAACAATAAGGACGACATACAACATAAATGACAGGGTACAGTTTACAAAACTATATTTACAGTGACAGGTACCATGAGTATCAAACAGCATGTCAGCCAGCTGAGTTTTAAAATGATGCAGGGGAACCAAAGTGCTCAGTTTTAAACATGTTTGCAGACTGTTCCAAGTTAGTGGAGCTGGACAACTAAAAGCTTTCTTCCCTAAGACAGTCCTAGCACTTGGCAGAAGTTGGCACATGTAATAAAACCACATCATGAGATCTCAGGCAATAAGTACTTTCAATTCGTCGAGAGATCAGAGAGCAGATATAAGAAGGTTTATTTGGTGTAACATTGTCTCAGAGACCCAGAGACATGCAAACAGCCTCTTATTTTCCGTCTTCACAAAGGTCCTCATTGTCCAGTCTTCCTCTCACAAAGACAGAATGTAGCTGACGGGATTGTTCATAATGTTTGCCTCTTTATGTTACATTGAATTCACACAAAGCATTGTGGGAAAGTATGAACGCTGGAAGATACATTAAGATACCGAAAGGCATTTAAATGAATGGTTTGACATTCTGGAAAACTGTTTTGGTGGATGTCAAATGATTGTGCTTGCATTTTTACTGTGAATACACTGATTAAAAAGGGTTATTTCATATTAGCTTCCTGGATCAATTGACGTTCACACTACTTATTCCCAGCATGTCCACAATGAAATTCCAAGATCAACTTTGTTTTTTCACGAGAGAGTTAGCGTTATTGTTCGCCCAACAACAACAACAACAACAACAACAACAACAAAGCTGTACAAATAGTGGGTAAAAACGTACAGATGGGGAAGTATAATGAGTTGTTTAGGATTCACGAGTTTTGACTGGAACTTGAAGGCAAACATATAAGACTTCCTTGTGACTTGCAAAACTATGGCTTGGTCCCACCTCTATAAACAAGCTAATTTCTCAAAATGTCGAACACTTTTTTATAATAGATTGAAGCTTTGAAGGTTGTGTTTACTAAAAACAAAGAGTCAATTTGACTTTTTTTAATCGTTTTTTTGAAGTTTAAAACCTCTATATGAGAGAAGGAAAACTCCTGTGGTTGTTTTACCAGTACATAAACCTTCTCACAGTATGTGTTTGTTGGTAATTTGAAGGAGCCAGACAGTGTGTTTGTTTGTGTTTGGGTCAAAGATACATATCGAAGACATGGGCGACTGGATTACTGGCTTTCTCCTCATGGATCAGACAGCTGTGCAGCAGCTGTGTGTGCAATTGTGTGTGTCGGGAGACTGAGAGGGGTGTTAGTGAATGTGTGTTTAAAAGAAAGAAAAGCAGCTCTGTCATTTATGCTGCACCTCCGACCCCACAGTTCTTGGCTGCCTGTGTCTCTGCTGAGGTTTGCTGACGTGAGAATAAAAAAATAGAAAGAAGGGCAGCTCATTGAGACGGAAAAGGAGGTGGGAGGACGACTATGGTGGAGCAAGAAGAAGCTTTGTTTTTTACGTGTACATTTACCACTCAAAGGCGTTCAGAAACTGAAAATGACATTTTTGAATTAATGTTCAACTCTTGGCAGTACATTTTTGACCTTGGAAACAGCATAATAAGTCCATTTAGCAACTGTTTAAAGAGCATCAGTTAAATCAAATGATTGAATTAGAACAAAAGAGTAGATTTCTATTTCATAAGCACATCATGTCTTTGCATGTTAGTTCCAAGTTAAAGATTTAAAGGAAATTGATGCCTTTGGAAACCGTAACTAACAAAAACATGCGTGTCCTCGCAAGGCTAATAGACTGTTAGCCTAGCTTAGCACAAATGTACTGATAACAGCTAGCCGGGCACTGAATTTCAATAGCTTTGTGTATCTTATTTTCTTTAGTACCTACTACCTACACTTACTAATTCAGTCAAAACAGTACAAAGTGCAGCAGTAGTGTGTGTTTAACAGTGGCGAACCGTGTATCTTTCACACACAGTGACGTCACGAGCTACCCACAATGCAACGAGCGCCATATATATATATATATATATATAAATACGCCATTTTCCTGGAGGTGCTAATATCCTGGAGGTGCTAATATAAACATCTAGGTAACGTAGCCAGGCAGAGCGCACTAGGTTTTTTTTTCTGAATTAACGACCGAAGAAATCACTGCATGTCTTCGGATTACATCTCTGGACTTGAGGGGTGTGCTCTAGATCGTTACCAGCGTAAACTAGAGCTGTGTGGGTTGTCCGATTGACCTTACAGACTGCCTGCAGATGTATGGAAAAACGACTCTCGAAAGTGGCCTTCGGTCGATTTTGGCAGCATCTACGTCTATCTTCTGGAAACACCAGGTGAATATCCCACTTATTCTCACAATAATATTATCATGCCAATGCATATATGTGGTATTTTAGAGTTGACTAGATATTGATTAAGGCAATAGACTATGATATTCTGCTTGCACCTCGTGTGAAATGGCAGATAACGGAAGTACGGTGTCGCCCTCGGCCCAAAACCCGTATGTGTGTGTGAAAGAATCACAACTGGACCATCTGTAGACACACACACACACCCACCCCCCCCCCCCCCCTCCTCCGCGGCATTATAATGTCCGTCTTTTCACTGAATTGTCATCTTGAAAAGGGTACTCACAACAATTCCGCAACAACTTCATCTTCACCTGTTGCACTTGTCATTTCAACGTTAAAAACAATAAAACGGCATGAATTGCTTCGTCGCATTTATCTAGATCCTCTGTCTCGAGCCAGTTAACTAGCGCGTTTCTATACCTCATTCACACCAACGGTGTTTCAGGGCCGGTTCGGAGCTGGAGCTTGAAAAGCACCAGGTTTTCCTCTTCACACCGCAGCGGAGCAGCCTCTTAGCTCCGGAATCCGGTTCGTTTCAAGCACCAAAAAATTGTCCGGCCAGACCAAACGCACCACATACGTCACGCTTACGTCGAGGCGGGGGCAGGGGCAGAGACAGATCAACTCCTGAACAACAACAAAAAGCCGCGTTTTGGTTTGTACACAACGATGGAGAAACTTAACAAGAGTTTCAGTGTTTCTGCCATAGACTGTATATATAAAGGTTTCTGCTCATGGTGAAGCAACGTGTCTGCGTGTTAAGGTGGAACCTGAGCATTCACGTTGATCACCTCTCATTATAAATCTATAAAACTATAAATATTAAACTTTACTTCACGTGTTCATTTGAGAACAGCTGTTACATACCTGGGTGAAGGTTACAGTTCATTTAAATGAAAGATACAACGTTACTCCACACTCATGGTTCAGTCCACCTTAAGAAATAAGACCGACCTCGGAAGCAGTTGTGTTTTAAAAAAACCTTTATTGACACGAGTACATTTTTTTATAAGAATATAACTAAACCACAGAAATGACTCCGTAAAAGCTGCAGATAGAGCCATAAGAAATTAATGCAACTGATTTCATCCGCGCGGTTTGGCTTTATGAAGCAG